ATTCTGGGTCGTAAATGTAGCCGGTAAGCAAATGAAAAACCAGTCAGGCGTCGCATCATTCTATAGTGCGGATGGCTTGTTGGGCTGATGAGAAGAATGATCTACTTCTTCGCTTCGCTTGTAGGTAGGACCTGGCTCTCCGTCGCTGTCCCCGGCTAGGTCGGACAGCCCAAATGCCTGGTTCTCGACATCATAGGCACGCATAAGCCCTTCACGGTCTCCGTGCCCGTTCATGTAAGTCCCCGACAAGCTCCGGCGATGAGGCTCGTTGCTGCGACGGGATTGCATGGACCTCCGAGTCTGAAATCCGGCGATTCCGTCAGTGGGGATTCCCTCATCGTCAAGTTTCGCGTTGAGCATCTGTCGTCCATCTGGGTCGTGTCGGGAAAGATTCAGAAGATATACACCGGAGAAAATGATCAAAAATCCACAGAGCAAGGAGATGGTGTTGACAGCGTCGGTGGTGTTGAATCCCTTGAAAAGGATGAATGAGGCGCACAGGGTCGCAGTCGTAAATGTGACATAGTAGAGGGGGTTGACGCTGACAGACATCGTTAGCAATCGCACACGGCTTGCAAGGTCGACATGCACCTACATTGATGTAGAAAATTGGTTCAGCGCCTTGTTGATGTAGTTCATCTGCGTCAAAATGCAGAAACCCGTGACGATCATGAAAACGTAGGTCGAAGCCTGCGTGAACTGGTTGTTGCCTCCCAACGTGAGCTTCACCGCAATACCAAATGCCTTGATTGACATGACTGAGACGGAGCCGACGGTGGAGCAGATGGAGATGTAAATCAGAGGGTTCTTTCTGCCGTAAACGGGAGCGACGCGGTAAATCATGACGGTAGAGAAGATAGCAACAGCGAGACAGTAAATCAAGAATCCTATTAGAGGGAATCTGTCAGCTAACAACCGGAAATTCAAGAGATTTGTCAGTCCGTACCTGGCTGCAGCGCGTAGCCCAGAATCTCATCAATTCTCTCCACCGGCTTGTCTGGGGGCGCATGAAGGACGATGACAACGGAGCCAAGGAGGCACATCGCACATCCTAGTTTCCCAAGTATACCCAGTCTTTCCTTGAGAAAATATGATCCGAGAACAGCACTATGGCCTGTTAGCCCACTGTATAGTAACTTCGGTCTGTGAAGGGGAGCCTCACCCGATCAGGACACTTAGCGCACCAAGGGGCGTGACGAGGATAGCGGGGGCGAAGGCGTAGGCTGCGAAATTGGCGACTTCTCCAACGGCCACTACAACATCACCAGTCAGCTCCGCTCGTTCAAGCGACAATCGAAAGAACAGGGCCTGTCGTACATGTAACCACTCCTCCCCACCATATGGGACTCTTGAGATATGAGAAACCCTCTCCTTCAAAGCCATGCCTCTCGGATGCTTGCATCAAGCCCTATATGATAGATATCAGTCGTTTATTCGAGACAAGGATCGATAAAATCGAGGAGAGGCAATTCCGCGCGGCTGGTCATCGGCGGCGATTGGACACGAACGAACCTTTTTCGTAATGACGAAACTTGTACCTAATACTTGTCAGCTCTTGCGGAGAGTAAATCCAATACGAAAGACTCATACCGATCGCCATTGTGGATGTAATGGCCAGAATGAGGCCGATATACCTACGCCACGGTCAGTACATTGCGAATCCGACGACGGTCCCAACGGGCCAAGAGATTGGAGACAAATCGCATCATACTTTTCGGAAATCATCGTGAGAAACGCTTGGAGCGGAATGCTCCTTGCAATTGAGCGACTTCAATGTTAACGAGTGTTGGGACAGGTGTAGTCCGAGCCGGAGCTGAAGGGAAGCGCGATGGGAAGGCTAAAGTGGACGGGTTGGCGTGGTTGATGACTGAGTTGACTTGACTACCTGGAGCCAAGCATTCGGCAGCGCGCGCCAACAATGACCGGCAGTCCAAAGACAATAGCGACAGCGCCTAGGTAAGGACTGGAGAAGCAATAACAACGACAACAACAACAAATGGCGAGAGTAAAGAAAAAAAAAAAATGTTTGGGTGGCAGAAAGGAGCGAGTAAGCCGGACAGGGTAAGATGCTGCAGCCTTGATGCGGCAGTAGGTTTTGGGGGGGTCGAGAACTCCTGCGATCGAAGGAGAGCTTGTTAGTTGACCTTGTCTGATCCTAGAGGCTGGCTGCCTGCGCTCGTGCGGTGGGGTTTTCCCCTTCAGACGGAACCGGCCCGGATCTGGACGCGCGTAAGTGGTTGAAGCGAGTGAGGGAGGCAAACCCCCAAGATATTACGGGCTGGGGGCGATATTTGGCTGATAGAAGGGCGAGATTCTGGGTGACTTGAACAGCAGGCGTTATGCGGAAAAGCATAAGCTGAGAGTAGACAAGGGGAAAAGAAGACAAGAGGCGGTCGCCGTTGTTCCAAAGAGGACAGACACCAGTTAATCTTCCTTTTGGCGAACAGCGTGACCGACACCCACCAGCCAAGTTGTCCTCGGCTGAAGCAACCAAGCAATGTTTCCAGCGTTACCAGCGTTTAATTAAAACTTACCATACCTAGGCAGTACTTTATTTTCTGTACAAGCCAGGAATGATCCCTACTTACTACTACTTACTACTGCTGCTGCTAACTACTAGATTCCCTCTAAATATAGGTAAGCACCACTTATGTCTGTCGAGTAAGTCATAGGGGGAGAACTCCTGTCTCAACAACTACTAGGTTAGTAGTCTAATTAATTCCTGAGAGCTGCTGATACCATATGCTGATGCAATTGAGTAATTGAGTCTCTGTCCCCTTGGTATAATAACCTCTACTCTCCTAGACTGGAGCTCTTTGCTTCACATGGGAAAGCGGGTGCATTACACATACCGTACGTATCACTGGAGGATTAGATAACCACCAGTCGTTTAGTTACTACTAACTAGTTATGACTTTCAAAAGTTCAAGTTCAAATTCTGGTACAGTGTAATGAAGCCTGAAAAGAAGGGCAACGGTGGCCATTCCAATGACCCAATCAAGGCGTGCCAGCCACAGCCCGGCCCCCCCTTGAGGAGCCTGGTTTCAGTATCCGATCGGCGTTTTGAAACGTAAGGTGGGCGACTAAGAATAGGAACCCTCGCCTCAATTCTGGTTCCGGGGTTCAATTTCATCTCCTGCCTGGGATTAGCTTCAATCCCTGCGGTGTTTACCGACCGTCTGAGCATCGTGTCTACCGCCTTGGCATGGCCTGTGATTGAACTCATCACACCAATCCACCCGTTACTAGTAACTCAGTAGAAGTAGCTTATATTCTTCCCATCTTATCGGGATATTAGACCTGTCCAATCTCACCTGCATCAGTGCTCTGCTATACTAGATAATGTTGATCGTCTACCCAGTAGCACGGTCATCAATAAGAGCACGTTCCAGCGTCTTCCTTCCCTATCTAGCAGGCTATGTCTCGGCTTTGTGACTATTTCTTTTCATTAAAGGAAGCTTCTGTGTATCTATTACATTCGGATAAAAATCGCAACTCAGATCAAAGTAAAAAATTCTGTCATTTTGTAACTCCCAAGGAGATTAGACGCAAAGAAATTCAACTATGGCTATCCCGCCAGCGCGGAAGCTACCTGGATTCAACATGATAACAACGCCTTGCATCGAGTACAGTAGAGATGCGTATCCACTCCCAGACGCCACAAAAGACCTTCATCATAGGTGGTATCACTGACCAAAGAGGAATAAAAAACACAAGGGCAAGAACAATACTTGGAATCGTGGGAGGTATCAAGTACAAACCTAAGTTTTACACCCCGTATGTGGAGTGCCCAAGGCGATGATTAATCATCGCCCCGGCCATACCAGTCCGGTGGGAGGAAACATGAGGGGGAAAGGAGTTATCGAAGTATCACGTACCTTATCTGGATTGCATGGCTGCAAAGTCTCCGCACTTCGTTGACCGATGCCATCTTTCGGAAACATCATTAGTGACTCGTCACATATCAGGGCTGCTCAATGATCGTGAACGTCATATCAGACCAGCCCGGTCCCAATATGCTGGAATCGTTAGATAGAGCCTAAGCAGAGCTCGAATCCCAGGGAAGGAGTTGTTTGTGTGTGTGATAGGGCAAGGTGAATAGATGGTGTAGGTAGGAAAGAGAAATTTAGGACGACCGAGAACGTTTTGCGTCCGGAGAAGGGGTTTCAGTGAACTCAAACTCATCCTCTGCTTCGCGATGACGCTTCGTTGGACCGCGACTTGGTGACTTAGCAAGGTCTGCCTCGTCGCCAGCAGCCAGTCCATCCTGGTCTCCCAGATCCAAATAGTCTTCATCGTCGAATGTCAACTCATCGGCATTATCGTGTGTGGCTGGAGCTTCTTCCGATTCATCGTGGATTTCTCCCGGCTCTTCCAGTTCATCCGCATTAGTGTCCTCGGCGGCAGGTCGATTGTCTTCTTTTCTGGGGCTCTTTAGCAGATCTTCCGCAGTACCTAGTGAGTCATCCTCCAAATCCTCGGCAGATTTGTTGGTGATCTCTGGGATTTCCTGGGAGACACTATCCGGAACCGTTTCAGTCTGATTCGATGCCTCTTCGCCTGGACCGCTACGGTGGACCTCTCCGTCATCGTTCTCAAAGCCATGGAAATCAGCGTCGACTGTGCCATCCTGGACTTGATCGCTGTCGTGAATATCCTGGAAATCGTCTGGTTCTTGCACATCCGGTGCCGTCGCATCGCCATCGAATTCCTCATCTGCTTCTCCGGGAATATCGGCAGCTTCGACTGCTTCGGCATCTTCTTGATAGTCGTAGTGTTCAGTAGCATCTACATTAGTTTCCTCTTCCGGGTAGGCTTCTTCATCAGCAACTCCCGTGCCATAATGCTCAGTCTCATGCTCGTCATGATCATGATCATGATCGGCCAGATCGTCTGCTGAGTCAGGCAGGGGCTGTTGAGTCACCGTAGCAGTGGACTCTGACTGCTCTTCTGATTCATACGACTCGTTCAGCTCGTGATGATCAACAGACTCCACAGACTCGGGTTCGGCCTGATGAGCCTCATGACGGTTGCTGTCCTGGTCATTATCGCCTTCCCGAACGTCCCTTGAAGCGGGGCCAACTGCATCATCGTTGTCTGAAGCTGCTTGATCATGATCCTCATGAGCTTGGGTGCCATGCCCTTCTTGCTGTTGTTCAGCAGCGCCTGTCTGGAGCGTCGAATCGACATCTGGCTCGTAGTTGTCTTCGGAATCACTGTGAGCATCCTCTGCTTCAGAAGATTCCTGCTGAAGATCGTCCGGAATATATACTTCTTGGTTCTCCTCGTAAACTTCCGCGGAGGCTGCCTCTGCTTCACCGTAACCATCCCAGTAAACTTCCGACAGACCTTTCCCTTCGTTTGCAGCTATAGAGAGAGAGGATAGCTCTGCAGCAACTGTGGGCCTTGTGCTCAAGCTAAGATAGAGCGCTTCCGGCTCTTCCACCCCGTCATTGTGGCAAAGACGGAGGTACAAATCTACAATCTGATGTAGTGTGACCTTGTCAATGTGAAGTGAGTCCTATAGTCGTGGTTAGTATTTGCCTAATAGAAGGGATTAACGAGTGACAAACCTCGGTTAGTTGAATATTCAGCGCCTCGACATCTACAACAAGAACCTCACCATCTCCGATATGTTCACGTAATACCTCACGGCACGAGCCGAGGAGTTTGCCGAAAGACCCAAAAGCCAAGCTCTCATCCTCAAGAAAGAACGTCTCCGATGAGTCGCCTTCCCGAGGAGGGAACAGTGAGATTTCGTTGTCTTGGTAATAGACTTTGACCGGATACAGAGGCGTGCGTTCCGTCGCCGGAGCTTCTCGCTCGACTAGGTGATCGACGTCTTGCGCCTCTGCAGAGCGATCCTGAGTTTCTGTGACCTTAGTTTCCTCTTCTCCATGTCCTTCTTCACCCCTCTGTCCCTCTGCCTCTACTTTCTCCTCCTCCCCTTCTCCTTCTTGGCCTCGTCCCTCATGCTCTTCTTCTACTGTACCCTCTAGCTTTTCAGCTGGATCCTTGTGTGTATCAGCTGAAGGTTCAACGTCGCTGGGACCGCTCTCAATAACTTGAGGCTGGTCGGCGTTATGAACAGTCTCTTCCCGACTGTCTTGTTCCGCGACATGATGAGACTCTAGCTCCACCGTGCTGGTACCATCGAGGGGCTTTTTAATTTCGGTCGACTCGGCTGCGTCTTTTTCGGGCTGCTGTGGGACATGCTCTTCTGGTTGGTCGATAGATTGTTCAACATCTTGCGGGTGGTCATTCTGTGCATCTGCATGACTTTGTTGTTCCGTCTGGGGCTCCTCTTGGAGTTCCTGCTCAGCGTTGTTCTTATCAACGGGCATCACAGCACTCTCTTCTGGCACTTGCGCTCCTTCTACCGCTTGGTTCTGAGCTTCGGATGATGTCGGCACTTCGTCTTGAGCTTCAGCAACAGGAGTATCGTTGTCTCCTTCGTAGTCGTCTTCTAGCATTTCCGCTTCGTAAATACGTTCATTCTCGTCCTGCATTTCAACGGTGTAATCCGCTCCGGTATAAGGTTCATCGGCATCAACCATAGTCGGCTCCGCAACATCATCGACCATGTCCTCATCGGGAGCACCATCGTGATCGTATTCGAAATATTCGTCTGCTATCATCATATCTTTGTCGGTAACGGAGGCCTGGTCTTCCATGATATCGATATCAATATCGAAGTCATCCACATGCCCTTGATAGGGTGAAGCCATCTCCATCTTATCGTCGGCCACAGAGATCTCCATGTTGGTAGGTGCAAGCGAAGAAGCGGTTATCATGTCATCGATATGCGATCGGTATTACAACAGAAGGACAGAAACGCGTCGAAAGTTTCGGCGTGGCGATCTCGGGGTGTGCCTGAAAGCAACCCAACAACAGATTTTGTGAGCTGCCTGTACCACTAGGGATGAATTCACCCGAGGACGGCGAAAAGTGCGCAACTGCGTCTCCGGTGACGACAGTTTGGTCCCTGAACAAGTTGTGGGGAAAGGTAAAGGGAAAAGGTTGGCTTGTAAGGTGCAAATGAAGAGGTCGAGGCAAAGTGAAGCTTCTTGTGCTGCGGTAAGCGAGGGGGTAGCGCGGCGCACGGGCCAACGGGGACGAAGAGAACAGCAAGCGACTCCCCGTGGCTTCGACGTCAAGACACGCCTACCAGACATTCGTCCGTCGGGAGATTGCTGCCATCTGGGCGAAAGTTATCACTTTTCACTAGACACCTGACCTTTATCTTCACAGCCATGGTTCGATCCCGGATATTCGGCTGTTTCCCAGAGCTCTGCTAACAATCGCGCACAAACAACAGGTCGTCCTCGCAGCCTCCATATGCACCCGCGGGGGTAAGGCCGTACTTTCGCGCCAATTCCGTGAGATTGCTCGCTCAAGAATCGAGGCCTTGCTCGCTTCCTTCCCCAAACTGGCCGACTCCGGTACTCAGCATACGACCGTGGAGCAGGACAATGTCCGCTTCGTATACCAGCCTCTGGACGAGCTATACATCGTCCTGATTACGAACCGCCAGTCGAACATCTTGCAGGACATCGACAGTCTCCACCTTTTCGCCCAAGTCACCACCAGCATCTGTAAGAGCTTGGATGAAAGGGAGATTCTGCGCAATGCTTTCGAATTGCTTAGTGCCTACGATGAATTGGTGACTCTGGGGTACAGAGAGAATCTGTCCCTTACTCAGATCAAGACCTTCCTGGAAATGGAGAGTCACGAGGAGAGAATCCAGGAGATTATTGAGAGAGTATATATATCCTCACCTGGGTATACTGTCGATGGATGGCTGACATTGCTGGGTATAGAACAAAGAGCTCGAGGCCAGCGAGGAGCGCAAAAGGAAGGCCAAGCAGCTGGAGATGCAACGGAAAGAGGCTGCCAAATCTGGTCGCTCTATGGCTCCCCGGACGCCCTCCTACCCCGTCTATACTCCCCCCTCCCGGCCAGCTGTTCCCGATACCTACGACACCTACGAGGCGGAGAAGAAGAAGTCTTTCGCTAAGTGCGTACATCCATCTTCATCTCTGCTCCCTGTCTCTAACACTCCCCCACTCCAGGCCGTTACCCACCCGCGGCAAGGGCATGCAGCTTGGCAAGAAGTCCAAAACCACCGACATATACGAGAAAGTGCGCGGCGACCTTGGTCCTGAAGTTGAAGAGTTCAGCCCCTTGGTGACACCACAAGCCTCGACGCCGATCGCCGAAAAGGTTTCCTCCGCCCGTGCCTCGCTGTCGACAGACCGGGATCCTGTCCACATCACAATCGCAGAGACAATCTCCGCTACTCTTACACGTGAGGGTGCACTGAAATCCTTCGAAGTGAAGGGTGATCTGCAACTCCGAATCTCCGATCCAGCTTTCACCAAACTCAAGCTTGACCTCCACGCCAACCCCACGCATGGTGCGCAATTCCGCACCCACCCTAATGTCGACAAAGCCGTCTTCACAAACTCTTCCGCAATCCAATTGAAGGATACATCCAAGAGGTTCCCGGCTAACAACTCCATTGGTGTGCTACGCTGGCGTGTCGCAAGCTCTGGATCGGACAACGCCGATATCCTCCCCATCACGTTCACCGTCTGGGTGAACAAGGGCTCCGACTCGACCACCGTTACCATTGAATACGAGCTGACTGGATCTGACACTCTGCGCGACGTTGTCGTCACCATCCCCTACGGCGCTACGGAACCGGCAGTGTCCAGCTTCGACGCCGTCTACGAAGTATCCGGAGACAGCCTGGATTGGAACATCGGAACCGTGGACGAGAGCAACGCATCTGGCAGCTTCGAATTCGAGTCCACGGGCGACGGAGATGAGAATGAGTTCTTCCCCATGAACGTGCATTTCTCGAAGGCCAACCCCTTCGTCGAGGTCGACGTAAACGACATCACTCTCTTGGAGATGGAGGGCGAGAGCACTGGCTACTCCAAGGATGTGAAGAGCGTCGCCGAGGGATATGTCATCGAGTAGATTCTCTTTTTTTTCTCATTGTCTCCGTTGCTTGGGTGTATAGAGTACTAATGACGTTCGGACTGCCCACTTGGGTTTCTGCGAGTTGTGTCTTATGCTTTTCGACCACGGTTCTTTTATTTGTTTTATTCTCCAATATAAGCCTTTTTTCTCTTTCTCTCTCTCTCTCTCTCTCTTCTACTTTCTATATGTACTCACTACAAGATTGCCCATCACGCCGCTTTTTATGCTGGTTCGTAATTAGCACTTCAAAGCGGCTGTTTCTAGCAACTGCCAGACATACCTTGGCAAATATAGTCCAGAAGAAGGATAGATATCTTCATGTGAAGTTATAGTAGGGTTAAAATGATCGGGAATTGAGGTATAACTCGGATACATAATGACTTACCGCATGTACTTAAATGTACTGGACATGTAATAGGAACCATGGGTGTGCTGTGCACCCAGGGTGACAAGGATCCCTTTGTGGTGTTCATATCATTCAGTTCCTTTATCGGAGTGATTGACACTATGATTGATGTAGGGCACAAAGATGAGTTGCTTTAACGTTTCACGTGGGTAGTAAAAATTTTCTATCCAAATCACATGAATTATATACACAGAGGTTCCCATTCCGGGTGGTAAATATCAACATATCAAAACACACACAAAGTTCATATCTGCATCCCGTGCGAGAACACATAACCAACACTCTCAGAACGTAGAAAATCGAATGCCGCGCAAGTTAGAAGCCAAGAGCTCTAGGCTAGACTCAAGGCTAGGCTTCAGCCTAGAATGAGGCTGGGCTAAGCCTCCCAGTTCCTCTTTTTCGCGGTGAACAGTAACCTGGCATTCTCCTCTTGAGAGGTGAATGAGAGTCGAGCACCGCTTCCTCCATGTACAGCGCTCAACTTAGAGATACGGATATCGATGACGTTTGCGCGAGGAAGAGTGCGATTGGCCCATGAGAACGTGGTTGCAAAGGGCCATTCTTGGCCGGCCCATGAGTGGAAGTCGATTCCGAGAAGGCCTCGTCCGTCGCCGACGAAGCGTTCTATGCAATCCAGTGGGGGGAGGAAGCGGCGGCGAATGCCGCAGCCGACGTGGTTTGGGTCTATTTGGTAGTCAGGGCATTGTTTGAGGGAGGCTATTATAGCTGTTATATCTGATGGAGGCGCTGGTGGTTGTTCAGGTGTGGAGTCGGTGTCTGAGTCGAGGTTGAAGTCGGGATCGATTAAAGTCGAGCCGAGAAAGATGGTCTTTGTGCGAAGAGAAAAAAATCGGGTCATCTGTCCTAGATGAAAGGCGTCGCAGGCACTGGAGTTGCCAAAGCCGTAGCGGCAATTGAAGGGACGCGCTTGGTTGATCGCTGGTGCAAGTGGTTGTCGTGGGACAAAAGGTTTGGGGGGCTCGGGGTCTTCTAAAGCGCCGTAGACCCGAAGGAAGTAGGCTTGGAGGTCGGTAATAGTGTTCAGAACACATTGTCGGCGGAAGTAGAGCTCCTCTGGAGTATGGTTAGTGTGCTTGATAATGGAGTGGAAAAGGCGTAACGGGTTTGATGAGGATACCTTCTATACCGTTAGGCAGAAAGCGCCAGGGGTGGGTAGGAGTAACCGGAGGCTCGACACCGTTTACCCAAGCCTTCGAGCCAAGAACCAGTAGGGCATGGGTCATCACTTTGTATATGACTGGCTCGTCCAGTATCCGCGCTACGAAGATGGTTTGTCGGATGCGATCCTCACTCAGCTTCAGTAAAGAAGAATCAAATTTGGAGGGTTGATATTTCCCCTTCCCATAAGCGTAACCGGCTCTCTTGAGAGATTCCCGGACGACATGCGGAGAGTTGAAGGCGTCCGCTAGCTCCAGTAGTCTTGCAATCAGAGACACAGGCGAAAACTTTAGTTCCGCATCAAATGAACACTTCTGTTCCTCTTCAAAGGAGTTGAAGGACAGGATCTCCAGGAACAATTTGATGGCATCCAACCCAAGCCTCGATGCGACATGTTTGCTCGGGAGGATCACGACAGGCAAATACCTCACTTCTGCATTCGGGCTGTTGGATGACGCAGTGTTCGCTGTTCCGTCATTCAGAAGCGTCTGATGCATCATTTTCTGCTGCATGAGTTGTCGACCTTCGGAGAATTTATGCGGGTCAAGAAGGGCCCGAAAATACGGACTATTTCGTGCCAAATCATCGCTGGAGACTCGCCACCGACGATGGCGCGCCTCCGATTGTGTCGCAATATCAGATTCAGGATCGAAGTATTCAATGATCACGTCGCCGGTCTGCAATATCACTTTGTAGGGAGCAGCCGTCTCCTCTAAGTCAGGCAACGAATGAGCCACGCCATTTGTCTGATGCGTGACTTCAGAATGGCCCGCAGCTGTCTTTATGGACAGGCTACCTATTCCAGAAATTAAGCTCTCCTTTTGAGATTCCGGGGCACCTTCCGAGTCCATGATGAGCTGATCTTGTGCGGTTTGATTTGTTCGCGATATCCTTTGGGGAGGTTATGATAGGTGATCTCCTGTCAGTACAGCATTGGGCTATCTTGAACAAGCTCCTCGCAGCTTCGAAACAAGGATCCGCGGAATTTGTACTCCTGGTGCCAAAGGTAGGAATTGGAATATCCGCCAGAGGTTGAGTTATCATTTGGAGGCCACTGGCCGGAACAACTCTGGCATTATGACGCTATGTGCAGCCTTCTCATATCGAGAAGCCAAACATATTCTTCATAGTATGATGGAAACAATATGTGTGCAAACAAGAGATGGTGGTCCAAATAAGTGGTGGTTGGATCGAGAAGAATTGCCTCTTCGAGCCATATCGTCATGTGACCCACCGCGGGGATGCTTCAAAGCCGTTCGTTCTCCTCTCCTCATCTTGGTCTGGCAACTTCCTTTTTCAGTCATGGACTAGTTTCGTGTTTATCAAGAATAGCATATACAAAGCAGTTTATTGTATATGAAAGAAGCGAGTTGTCCCCAACCTTACTGCAATTGCCCTCGATAACCGGCACTCACTAAATCGGAAGACATATAAATATCCGAGTCGCAAACTATCTAGATAGTAGTATCCGGCATACTGTCTGAACTATGATAGAGCACCATGCAAACCTACTTACTAATACTAACTTACCAGTAAGGACTACTAGTAAGTCATTCATGGGCCAATACATACAATTAAACTAGTGAATATCTGGCAAGAATTTGGGCCGTTGACAATAACCAATTTGTCAACTAAGAAACAGAAAGGGTTGAAATACTCAGTTCATTATACTATCTTGATCGCAAATACGTGGCCTTCGAGCTCAAGTTCGGGCTACATGCTATCATGAGTACCCACATGCAGTCTGCTGAAACCCAAAAAGGATCATGATCACCGTAAGGGGCTCTTATAGCATCTCCACAGATGCCTGGGGAGTGCTCGGCCGGCGTCGGTCCCGACCGCTGCAGGGAATGAGGCTACAATGAACTTAGAGAGCCTGAGGGATTGGATCTAGAGTTCTAGACACCTTTCTAAATGGCGCCGTTGCAATTTAGCTCGGGCTGCTATATGCCCCGATTGGATGCTTACGTTTTAGTGGTCATTGGTATTTGGAATTCTTGTATTCCCCGAGCCTGGTGATGCTAAAATTTGCTATGCTCTTTGGCTGTAGTCACAGATGATTTCTGACCCCCGAATGTTGTACTCAGAAGACGGTAATAACAGAACATGACAGAACGAAATGGTTTTGACAGCGCTTAACTCCAGACCCCCCTTGTGCGATATTGTTGCTTTAAAAAGACGTAGTAGCGAAATAAATATGTATATGTGCGAACAGAATAGGTGATTAATTATTCGAAGTCAAAAGGAAAGAGATGGCGTATGCTGTAATGGAATTCCCAGCGGCGCCTCTTCACGGCAACGAGACGATAGGAATGTGCAAGATCTGGCAACTTTTTGTGGTGTCGGATTTATGCGTGATTCCATTTTCCTGGCTGGTTGCTTCGCGGAGTTTGAATGCCTTCCCAGCAGCATAGAATAGTTTTGCGGCGAGAGGGTTGAGCGATTCAAGTGGTATCGTGGTCTCAGGCAGAGGTGTCTCGTCTTCCTCTCCCATCTCTTCATCTTCCTCGCTGCCGTCGAGCGGCTGTCCACCTTGGCAGATGGGAGAGAACAGCGCAAAGTGTGGCAGCTCCTCGTCATCATCCGACGAGTATGGGCTCAGCTGTTGCTGCTCATCGTTGTAACCAGACAGGCCTGTCTCAAAAATGTCGCTTCTTTGCGAGGCAAGATGCCATGGTTCACCACAGAGGAATCCCACTACGAAATCTTGATTGGCACGGGCAGCCGCTATGCAGCTCTGACGGTAGTCGGGAGTAAAGGAAGTATCGGTCCTGGATGGCAAACAAAGGACAAGACCACGGGCCAGAAGAGGCGGGGGAGGAAGATCTTCAGGTATCGTAGAAGGACTCAAAGTCCCAAACTCGAAGCCATGGCGCTCGAACTGAGGTGATTCCAAGGGGTAATCGGCAGAATCTTCGGTATGCTGGGTGATTGTTTGGGTAAGGGAGATAGTCGAAGCCTTCCGTGGGGGCAGTCCCAGGCCACTTTGGTCGACCACGTACTCAGTAAGATGTTGGGATTGTGCCGAGTCTTGATCGCTGTTGGATTGCTCATTTGCGAAACTGTCGGCGGTGATTTCGGTTCTGATAGTCTGCACAGCGTCTGCCACTGCCTCCCGAGCAGCAGCCTTCAAGGTCGGAATCAAGATGTCGGCTTCCTGGTTGTAAACAGCGGCCCCCGAAGCCCAGGCTGTCGAAATGCCTGCCCAAGATGCTGGCTTCACCACACCCCTGGTGTACTTCTTCCGTATCAAGTCGACCACCCCATTCCGTACCTCTCTCGATTCTGACTTCTGCCGACCGACAACGTCAACGGTGGAATTGAGAATTCGACCGCTTTCCCAGATCAAGAAGCCATGCTTCCTAGCCAAAGTGGTCAATTGGCGAACCGTTTCCTCGGACCAGTCATCGATGATATCTGCGTGAACCTGAAGGATGCTGATATGGGGGCCGACCAAGGACGCGAGATGAAGGAGCGAGTCCGTGTTGGTAACTGTGTGAGAGGGAGACACACACACAGGCAGTCCGTAAGGCAGTTCGGACTTGGACTTGGCCAAAGTTTGTAGGTAGGACACAATGCGGTTGCCGGGGAAGGACGGACTGTCCGACGTTGAAAACGTATCCATTGTGGTTGAGGGACGTAAGGTTGACAAGCGACAAGAGAAGTGGGAGGGGTGGGAGGATTAGGGGAAAGAAGAGAAGAGAAGAGAAGAGAGGGAAGAGAAGAGGGAAGGAAGGGAAAGAGAGGGAGTGGAGTGAGTGAAGAGATGAAAGGGTTGGGAAGAGAACGAGGGGAAGATCAGGTTAACTATGTCTGTGTGTGTGTGTGTCTTTTCTTCTCTTCTTTGTTTCCCTCACTTTCTGGCTCAGGGAGCTTTCTTCCCGTTGAGCTACTGAGGTACACTAATTAGATTGGAGGTAAAACCCACTTCCAGTCCCTTGACTGGTCGACTCGGTCGAGACAAAATGATTGACAATTGAACACCGTCCCCACTTTTCCGACATTTAGCTCGACATGATCAGTCGACAGGGGTTGAGGGGGGGACCCGTTCGGATGTGGTTCGAAGGAGGAATCGGATCAAGCAGATCTCCATCCGTTTTTTCTTGAAATGAAAGTACAGTAAGAGGGGGAACTGAGAGAAAGAGAAATCTGCCGAACGGGAAGTCTGCTTTTCTCTGCAGTGATTTGTTTTCTTTTCTTTTTTTTTTTTTTTTCCTGGCACCAACATACTCCGTACACTCATATATTTGGCTGATCAATTTATAGGCTGTTACTATTCCAATGAGAAAAATGAATGCACCTAAAATAAGTTGAATTCTACCCTGAATTCGGTCAATGCAAACGAAGGCGGAAAAAAAGGCATGATTTGATGGGCGAGGAATGAATGAATGAACGAGCAAATGAATGCATGAATGAGAATGGGACATACCTTATCCCAAGCTTGGTCGAGTCGAGTCAAGACTCCCTCGACAGACGGAGCCGCGCGACACGGGGAAATACCGAGGGACTCCCCACCGGCCGATACATTCTCTTACCGATCAGAGACTGACTTTGCGGCTGGAACGGAGGAAAATTGTATGCTAAAGTACCGCGCAGTACGGAGTAACAGTAACCAAACCGAGAAACCAGGGAAATAAGTCAACAGAGTAAGTCGGAGGTAGTAATCTATCTGTGAACCATGGCCACCGAAAACCATGGAGGATTCTCACTTTCCAATCAAGCCGTTCAATTCAAATTGCAAGTTTCTTTCTAGCTCCTCCACTTTTGATGATCTCCAAATGATTTCCATCCATGGAGATCGCCTTGACTTCTCGACACTACTCCATACCCGGTTTCAACTTTCAAATCAAAAAGTCTTCCCTCCGAAAAGGCATCAGTCCATCATCCATCTCGGGCCCCCCTCTCTCCCCCCCTCCCCCTCCTCTCCCTTTTTTCTCTTGGTTGCCCCGTCTCTACCTCTCTCTCTTTCTCTCTTTTCTCTTTACCTCTCCAATTGTTCAAGTCAATCCTGTCCGGTTATTGGGCACAAGTGTAACCCACCAGAAAGACCTTGTCCTACTCGTCCAGCCATGCCCAGTGCACGCCCAGTGCCCCGTCAACTTTCATCCACTCCAGCTCCAGCCTCCATCCTTCCTTTTCCCCATATGGACAGGGGCGAACCCGCCTTGTCGGAACGAGCGATCCGGTACAGTGGAAATGTTACGCAACTTACGCCGCATACGCAGCGGGCGGGTCATTAACCAGCCCGTAATCTCGCCCTTCCCGGCAGAGGGGGACCACTTAGACATCTTGACTACACTGGCTGTGTGTGGCGAAGGCAAGCACGAAAGTAAATATAGATAGATTTAAATAGCAGTAGCTAGCTAATATGAGGAAACACGGGATGCGATGTGGCCAGTAGCGCTTCACCAGATTGTGGAAATGGAGTATATAGTAATTTACTGCTGAACTTTACTGTTCGGGCGTCGAATTCGGTTCGGCTGGGCGTTTAGTAACTCGAGTCCTCCCCCATCCTCGCTTACTAGTGCTTTCTGCCCAGCGCTTACCCTCCCCATTCAACCGTCAATGACTATCTAGATAGTCTCTTGCTTGCCGATCTCATGTCCCAACTCTCAACGTCGTTAGTTGCTTTTATACTTTTGGTTTCGGAACCTGCTCATAATGGCTCGTTTTGGCCAGACTTTGACCATCAGGCACGCCACACTGCTTGTTCGGATGACAGCCTCATTTCTCATATTCCGAAAAAGCCACCCAAAGCTCAGAGCTCTAGACGTACTGTGATACATCCGACTGCCGGGGGTCTTGTGATGCGTCCCAGATCCGCCCCAGTGCTCAGCTGCCATCGACGCTTTGACGACCCCCGACCCCGATAGTAAAAGAGGCATGCTTTGGGAGTAGATCCGCTTGGAGACAGTTTCAGGCCGCCATGCTTTTGCCTCGGACGGCGAGTGACCAGTGCCCGGGTTCCAACTCCACAGACTGAGATATGATGGTACAGTGTACGGAGTAGTATTTTGCTCCTCGCACACGCAGTGCCAAAACCCACCTGAAACCCGTACTCTAGTACTAGGCAAAAGAGACATCCCGGATGGAGTCCCACCAAATACCACCAAAAACCGGATTAGTCTGTCATTGGTCGCATGAACCGGTAGGCAGGATTATTGACGATCAGGCCATCACTTGACGGATATCATGTAGATAGTGGGTGCGGAGTAGCTTCTGCTAGACTACTGACACTGAAAGACAGCACCACAACAGTGACTCGGTACCGGCATCCGCAACTATCTTGTATGGGCTCATGTGATCGGGCAATTTACTGCGTAGATACGCTCCATATTGGATGGAGACCACAATGGCTCCATTTTGCGCCCAGCTATGATCACTGCACCAATGCGTACGGATTGACCACACAATCCAAGGATTCATATCTCATTGGGGCCATACATCTAATAAGCAACACAATCCACAGTAGGGTCTTGGGCAAAGCGGTAGCCAGTCTTACCTACAGTGTCGCAAGATTAGCCTCAGAAGCGCGAAAGTAATGCGGTAGCTTAGTGCTATACTTGGGGGTTATATTCCTGCTGCATGCTGTCGCTAATTTGGCAGGAGCTCCATGTTAAGTGTGAACCATAAACCTGCGTTTCTTTTTTGACCCAAAAACTGGGCGCCTTCCTTTTGTAGGTAGCCTCGTATCCGTACTACTCTGTACTACCTTGCCCACGTTAAACCCCTTCAGCCGTTCAGCTAGCCTTTCCTTTCGGTCAAGCGCCTGTCGCTGCCTTATATATGCCTTATAGATGCCTTAAGACACAAAAGTCAGCCCACTGCTTACTAAGATGGCCACTCAGGGGCAATTCCAAACGAGGACTAGTGGCTTCCGCAGATTCCCGTTGTATCCCCGACGGCCTGAGGAAGCGCCTCCTCTATGGTGAAGCCACACGGTCGCTCTTTGTATAGACGAGAGAAGAGCTTATTGCTTTTTCATTCACACAAACGTCAGACAATCGACCTTGCAGTGTTGTAGCAGTGCTTGCTAGACTCTTGCGATTGTTGTGCTCTGTTGTTTCAGTGGTTCAGCGAATTTTTCTTTCGGAGCCTCGGACCCGTGATCCCTGCTCGATATTTTGAAGCTCACGCCACTTCTCCCTCAGCCATTTATAGGGGTTTGCACCACAACTGATCGCTAACCGTCCAACTACGACTCTCGCATTACACCTTTTACCTCCAGATCTTCGTCTCTTCCCTCCGTCCCTCGATCTCGCAACACGGTACTGGCTCTTTAGGCTTTTGCCTTGCGACGACCATGCCTGGCAGAACCCTTCCAACTTTCACCCCGGCCGAGGTCGAGTCTCACAACGATGCCAACTCGTGCTATGTGACCCTGGGATCAAAGGTCTATGACGTTACTGACTTTGTCGCCGGTCATCCCGGTGGTGAAGAGTTGGTCCTCGAATATGCTGGCAAAGATGTGACGGAGATACTGCGCGATCCGGCATCCCACGCCCATTCGGATTCGGCATACGAAATTCTGGACGAATGTCTTGTTGGGTTTGTCTCGTCGGAACCCAACGGGAAGGCAGCAAATGGGTGCACGCCTCAATCAAAAGAACAGCAGGCGGTGTTTGCAACAACTGGCTTGTCTTGCGAAGAGGACCTGTCGGTAGAGACCGATCCTACCAAGGATTATCAGACACATAAGTTTTTGGATCTCAACAAGCCTCTCCTTCTCCAGCTGTGGAACAGCGGATTCACCAAGGAGTTCTACCTGGATCAGATCCATCGCCCGCGTCATTACAAAGGTGGGGAGTCCGCGCCGCTCTTTGGAAACTTCCTTGAACCTTTGAGCAAGACAGCTTGGTATGTTGTTCCTATCATGTGGCTTCCTCCAGTCACATATGGGACTATCGTTGGTTTCTCTGGACTGGCGAATGTGCCGGCTGCCGCTGCTTATTGGGTCGGTGGTCTCTTCCTCTGGACCTTGATAGAATATGTCATGCATAGGTTCTTGTTCCACATCGATAAGTATGACGCTCTGCCCCATTCATCTCTCAATCGCCGGTGCTAATGCTTCGTAGGTGGCTTCCTGATAACCGCGTTGGCCTTACTCTTCACTTCCTGCTACATGGAATCCATCATTACCTACCCATGGACAAGTATCGGTTGGTCATGCCACCGACTCTATTTGTCGTCTTGGCCGCACCATTTTGGAAGTTAGCGCACACGGTGTTTTTCTACAACTGGTATGCCGCTGTGACGGTCTTCTGTGGAGGTGTCTTCGGCTATGTCTGTTATGACATGACTCACTACTTCCTCCACCACCGCAAGTGAGTAAATCTCTTCTCCAAGCTCTTCGTATAATATTTGCTAACCGCTGATGTTCATCTATAGCCTCCCTTCCTACTACAAGGCGCTCAAGAAGTACCACCTCCAGCATCATTTTGCGGACTTTAACAATGGCTTTGGCGTCACTAGTCGCTTTTGGGACCGCGTCTTCGGCACTGAGCTTGAGATGCCGTCTCCCAAGAAGACCCAATGAACATACGTGACATCCTGATGCTTCATACTCTGGTTTGTCAGTGTTCCCCATTATTTGCTCTCTATTCATACCTTTAATGTACGAAGTAATGTCGCCGACGCGTGTTTATTCTTACCCACGCTGACAATCCGGAGTTGGGCTTCTTGTGAATTTTTCATGTACATTGATTGTCATGGCCGGATGAAGAAAACTATACGTTATTCTTCCGTGATATGTGACCATGACTCTCGTTGCTTTTGTGAAACCATTTTCTACTATTGTACAGAGTATATAGCCGCTTATAATATAATTTCCCCATTTACACTATCGATGAAATGAGTTCAAGCCGGGGTACGGTCGAGTGCAGGATGACCCGTTGTTCATAGCCGTGCTAGTAGGTGCGAAAAAAAAAATATGAAAGAATAAAAGATAAGAAGGCAAAGACGCCAAGACCACGTGACGTGTCGGCATCCCACGCCATCGGAACATTGAGGTGGACAGTATCTTCACATCTCTTCACCTCACTCCTCAGCTACAGCACCACACCCGTAGGGAATCCGCTTATCCCGACGTCTAATTATACGGCATCGAGAATATCTATATTACAGTGTTAGAAACAACTTGCCGGCTTCCGGATTTGAAACAGAAGGGTTCGCTCAAGTCAAGCTTGATACGCCGTCACTCTCTAACCAAGCCAAAAGTGACCTCAATCCTTTCCGCGCAATCTTCGTTGCATTTGTTTTCTGTTCAGTTTAGCCCAGGAAAAGTCAAATTGCAGCATATATACCAAGATGTCAGGTCTCGATGTTGAGGCTCTCCTCGAGTCCACAGCCGCTCCGCCATCTCAAGACCCTCCCCGTTCCCAGGACCGCGATGACCGCTCCTCCTCGAAAACTGACAGCAATGACCGCCGGGACCGCGATCGGTCACAAGAGAAGGACCGCAAGCGCAGGGACCGCAGCCGTGATCGACGTCGCTCGCGAGACATCGATGGAGATGAAGACATGAAGAGCCCGAGAAGCGAACATGGCAGTGCTAACGGAAGCCATAGAAGCAGAAAGAGGAGCAGGAGTCGTGATAGCGAACGCCGTCGGTCTCGTCGTGACCGCTACGGTGACGACTACCGTTCTGGTGGCGACTTCTACCGTGGTGGTGGACGGGCTCGCACTCGCTCTCGGTCGCCTTACGATGATCGCTATTACCGCCCCTCGGGCCGCTCCCGTCGCGATGAGCGAGATGAAGAAAGACGCACTCGCCGTGACCGCAAACGAAGCCCGAGCCCGAGAAGCCGCGAGAGGACGCCGGAACCTACTGAGGATGAGCGTGACAGGCGTACCATTTTCGTTCAGCAGCTTGCTGCGCGGTTGAGAACTAAGGAGCTGATTGCGTTCTTTGAGAAAGTCGGACCTGTCAAGGAAGCCCAGATCGTTAAGGATCGTGTCAGTGGGCGGTCTAAAGGGTGAGTTTATCTCCTTCCCAGATGATAAGGACAGCTGTGTACTGACTTTCACCAGTGTCGGTTATGTCGAGTTCAAAAGCGAAGACGCCGTTGCGCCCGCTATCCAGCTTACCGGACAGAAACTTCTAGGAATTCCCATTATCGCGCAATTGACTGAAGCGGAAAAGAACCGTCAGGCCCGCAATCCTGAGGCCAGCAGTGGCAACAATCACGCTGCTCCATTTCACAGGTTGTACGTGGGTAACATTCATTTCAGCATCACTGAAAGTGACCTCCAGAACGTCTTTGAGCCTTTTGGCGAACTCGAATTTGTCCAGCTGCAAAAGGACGAGACTGGTCGCAGCAGGGGTTATGGGTTCGTGCAGTAAGTTCTACTCCTACATAATCTACTCATACCATCAGTAACTGTTGCTAACACTGTGTATAGGTTCCGTGATCCTAACCAGGCTCGTGAGGCATTGGAAAAGATGAATGGATTTGACCTTGCTGGTCGAGCAATCCGCGTTGGCCTTGGCAACGATAAGTTCACTCCTGACTCGAACGCACAACGCATGCAGAGCCAAGGTGCAAACCAACATAACTTCCAGGGCTCTCTTTTCTCGGGTCACGGAGGACGTGGTGTTCAAGCCGGCGGTACCAGCAACTTCGACCGCGCTGGTGGCCGTGACTCCGAAAAGGGGGCCGGTGCTAGTGCATTGGACGATACGGATGTTGCCGGTGTAAATTTCAACAACTACAGTAGGGATGCATTGATGCGCAAGCTTGCAAGAACAGATGAACCAGCCGAGCCTGCTGCCGACGACCAGCAAAAGGTGCTCCGTCCCAAGACTGAGGCCAAGCCTCTGCCTGTTAACGTCAACATGGCAAGTCGGTGTGTCATGCTCCGCAACATGTTCGACCCCAACGAGTAAGTTGTCCTGTCATAGCTCTCTTGATCGATCTCTGGAAGCTAACAATCTCACAGGGAGGAGGGCGAAGCTTGGATTAAGGAGCTGGAGGATGACGTTCGCGCTGAGTGCGAAGACAAATATGGCCATGTTGTTCACATTGCACTAGATCCCAACTCGCAAGGCGATATCTACCTGAAGTTCGACCGCGTCCAGGGTGGCGAGAACGCTATCAAGGGCCTGAACGGGCGTTTCTTCGGTGGTCGACAGATCACCGCCCAGCCCGTCGTCGACGCTGTCTACAGCAGTCTGTTCTCCCGAACCAAAGCGATCTGAAGTATATGACATCGGCCTGCGCCTACCATGACCACATACGGGTAGGTATTACATCTAATTTGTCTCTCTTACCAGGTGCAATCTGTGACGGCCGGACCACACTTTGGCCTTTGAACTGTTGAGCGGTTGCTTCGGCATGGTGCTTGGCTTGGATGACACTGCCCCTGGTAGGTGCCAGTCTTCTTGACATCTTACCCTTTATGGTTGTCTATCAGGCCGAGAGGCTCGTGGAATGATCTTGTCTATAGGGATTTGTACATTGCGTTAGCGCCAAATAGTTTTTTTCGTAACCTTGTTAATTGACAATTGTCAGTCATGAAAAGATTGTTGTAATTTTAAGCCACCTAATTTTTTCATCATCTGAGTCTTTCACTAAAGTACTGCCAGCGCTTTGTAGATGTCACCATACAGTTTCCGTTGATCCCCTTCCTCAAGGATGAGAATGTATAACATCCCATAAATCATTCCCAACACAACACCCTATAACAAGGACACTGATTAATAGAATGGCACTAACTGCAGCAGGTCTACCTCGTATATTCCGTGTGTGAACTGATCTACAAAGTATTATACATACAAACCCCGACTGTTCCTTATATATATTGGTAGTCTGCTGATCCTGGCAGGACTTCCCACATTACTGGAAGGGACACACGAAGCATTATCCTGGTTCTTAGAACAACTTATAGTATCTCGACAGTGTGTCCATCTGCTGATCTGTCGGCTAGTAGTATTATTTCCTGCTACTTACTAGTACCTAGCATCCCACGATACCCATGACATCCATGACATTTGCCCCAGAGTGTATATTATTCCTCGCACTCAAACATATACTCCCCAAACGGTAGGAAATCAATCTCACGGACAATCGAGGAACTTGAGAGCAATATGTACAGTATTTCCATGCGATGTTCATCTAATCCAGTGACAGAAGGAGGCTTGGGAAACCATCCCAATTACTTCACTAAGTTGATGAAACAGGACACATCATTATTACTAGTTCTTGCACCTCAGCCTCAGCTCACATCATCATTCTTTTTCCGTCTTCGTATTCAGCTTACATGGCATACATCCTCTGACTCTTCCCATGCGTCTGCTTACGTACGGACATTGGGCTACAACATAGACTTAATGCAAGTCACTTAACAGCTAAACTACGCGACCATGGCTAGCCACGATCACTTCATCAATGTGAAGGCCCCATAATTTGACCGATAAGAATTATCGGATCAGACCGGGGAGTTCTCCAATTGACGTGATGTGTTTATTCGGTGGAGTCAACTGGTAGCATCATATATGTATGGCTGCCGTTGTGCTGCTGCCACGTCTTCCTGCTTACTGGAGAGTTTCTGACCGCTATGATAAACTCATAACGGTAGCTAAGCAACGTTATTCTCTGTAACTTTGATCCAATTGTTCTTGCGAGTAAGTAAATAGTTTAATAGGAAATCTCAATGTGTGTTTTGTTGTCAAGTTGTGTAGTCGATGGACCTGGGATTAGTGTAGTGAGACATTGATCGAGAGCGCATACGGTGGATGTTCTCATCCTATTCCAGGGATCTGTTTGTGTTTTTGAAGAAATGATGAAACAGTCTAGAATACCACAGGTGGGATTTGTTTGTTCTCTTTCTGTCTGCTGCTCCTTCAAAGTAGTCGAAGAAAGGTGAACAAGACTCTGACTTGATTACTGGTGAGAGGAAAGGGGAAGAAGTTGGAGATTTCCCCCCTTAACAAAGGACCCAGGTCTCAAGTCTGTTGCCTGAAGTATACTTCACAGCGTGCAGCACACATTGCAGTTGAATTGCTGCGAGGGAGGGAGAGACAAAACAAGAAGCAGTGGAAGTACTAAGAGTAGCAGAACAAGTACTTAGTAGTCAGAAGTGCCGTTGTGTTTCTCCGCCGCGCTGATTGCTCGGCCCGCAAAATCAGCAGCCCCCGCGGATTCCCGATAAAAGGCAAAGAACCTTCTTCCTGCTTCGTGTCCGGCACCCCCCTTTGTGTGCTCGTGTTTTTCTACTTTGCTCTCCCAGACTTTTTTCCATAGACATCATCCTACCAATGCTTCGGCCTTCATGATTGGGTCTCCCGCCAAGCGAGTCTCCGTCCAGGCCCGGACCCTGGCTGACAGTTATCGTGAGTTCGCCTCCTCCCCCAGATTTCTCTTATCTCCGCGCCTTTCTTGCGCCCAGCCAGATCGGCCTGGAGTTGCATGGTCGTCCTGCATTCGCGTCTCACCATCCCCCCTGGCTAACCTTTTCTTGTCTTCTCTCTAGTCTATATTATCTGGTCTCGGCATCGTCGTTACTCGACCAAGTACATTGTTCCTGACGATATCCGCCCCACCAAGCGTCGCGAGTTCCACGACTATTTCGTCACTCATCTGCCCTCGTCCTCGCTACATCCGGATCCCCGAGGTCCTTTGGCCCCCTTCCATAAACTCCCTCGTGCAGAGTCAGTCCCCCATACGGGCGAGATCTCGCATTCTCCGGCCGCATTCCAGCCCCTTGTCGACCGGGACACCACTGTCGTTCGCATCCCACTGCGCAGTGCCAAACACCACTTTGGTGCACACAGCTCCCGAGGCACCCGGCCCTACAATGAAGATGCCTACCAGGCTGGTGTCATCGATATACCCGCCTTTGCGAAGCGTCCACCAGCCTCTTTGACGATCAAGAAGACTGGCACTATCCCTGTCCCCAGAGAGAGCCGCGGGGCCGACACCGCGAGCGGGGATCCGCAGGTCTTCTATTTCGGCATCTTTGACGGCCATGGCGGAACGGAGTGCAGTACTTTTCTGAAGGACTGGCTTCATGAATATATTCAGGATACCGCAGCCGCCTTTGAGCTACAGTCGAGTCTCCGACAAGGCTCAAGCGGCCAGTTTCCGCGGGGCGCGGATCCCTCATCCGGAGCGCTGCCAATAGTACAAGGCGGTAACTCTAAGCGTATCGGAGAATTAGAGAAGATCCTTGTGCAGAACTGGAAGACATTGGTTGGCGGCTATTTCAAGAGATTTGTTCCACCTCACTTCACACATGCCGGAAAACAGAACTCGACGACCGATGTGGATTCTGGCATGGGAGTCACCATTGAGGAGATCTTGGAGTACGCCTTTCTCCGGACTGATCTGGAGTTCGTTTCGGCACAAGCGGCTAAAAGAGACGATGAATTTACAAAGGTCGGTCAGCCAATGCATCAGGATGATATTTTGTATGGCCCAAGCCGCTCCCGATCGTTGAACATTGGCGGGGTCAATCGCTTCAAGGGAGGCAGCACGGCCAGTATTGCGCTCATCTCAACTCCGACGCCCGCTCCGTTTTGGCACCCCAATGCCCCATCTAGCCTGCTTGTATCGCATGTTGGAGATACCCGAATCCTCTTGTGTTCCACTTTGACTGGCCAAGCCATTCCGGTCACGTCCAACCACCACCCCTCGTCGCCTATTGAAGCTTCCCGGTTACGACGTTACGCGACCACGTTTGTGACAGACTCGTTTGGAGAAGAGCGGATGAGCGGGCTTGCCAACACTCGATCTTTTGGGGACGTCCAGTCCAAGCGCATCGGTGTCTCGGCAGAGCCAGAGATCCGTCGCATCGAGATGGGCCCAGCCGAGTACTCATTCTTGGTACTCATGTCGGACGGAGTCAGCGGCACGCTCCTAGACCAAGAGGTCGTCGACATCGTCAAGGAAGCCAAGACCCCCGACCAGGGTGCTTCCGACGTGGTCAAATTTGCGACTGAGGTGACCCGTGAAGGAGACAATGCCACCTGTCTGGTAGTCCGATTAGGCGGGTGGGAGCGACGGCTAGAGGGAGGACTGGGCAGCTTGGGGACAAAGGAGTCTCGAGAGTGGCGTCGGCAAGAAGCGACAGATCCGCGCAGGTCACGGAGATGATAATGAAGATTTTTCTAACATTTGATAGAGAATATGCCTGTTTGTATATAGCTTATTTCTTCTGCTGCTCGTTTGGTTCGTGCTGCTCGACAGAGCTTTGCATAGTTCACATCTGTACATACGCAGTCTTTGACAACTAATTTCTTTTGTCTTTCCTACACGCCACTATCTTAGTATGGGGGTTTGAGTAAAGGATTAGTTGCAGGTTGAATTTTAATTGATGTATGGGAAGGGTAGATCAGGGTCCACGGGCAACTAACTCTTGGTCGGGACCGGCCCGGAAGAGGATGTAAGGCTGGCCGCAAACAGAGAACAGCTTCTCCTGACCACCCGCCTCTTTAAATCTTTCTCATCATCACTTGGCTCCTCTTGGAACTCATTGTCGCACATTGACTCTTAGTTTCTGTGATCAACTGTCTTGATCAGCGCAATCGCACCACTCCCCGGATTGCGGCGGATGAATTAAGGTGACCGCATCGTGAGTGGCTCCTTCTTATCACCCCCCAACCTTATCGCCAAATCTCACACATGGCCATTTTCCTCTCCTGACCAACTTGGACAGACTGTCTTTCCACGCGCTGTTGAGATAGTCACGACTTCCCTTCTGTTGGCTCTCTGTACAGTGACATTAATCTCTTTTGTTCACTCGAATCCTGTGGCCTTTGGCTTCTGACCCAGGCGCGTCGCAAAAAAGCAGAAGGTACGTGTTCCACAAAGCTTTCAGGAGAATCTCCGGCGCCGTCGTCTTCTCTCACCCCATCTAAACTTGCGTCGACCTCGTGGTCCATGTCTAGTGAGACAGTGTGAGACGTGCTAACCTTACTGTCTCCATCTCTCTAGTCTTCTTACCCGACTGAGTTTGGCTGCTCCGATTGACTCGAAGCTTGCTTCGGACACGGTCCACTCGCCGTCCTCGTGGAACCCCTCGGATAGAGCTTCTCCTTCTTCCGTCAACTCCCCGTCGCCCAGGCGTTTTTTCCTCCGGAACCTCCTACAAACCAGTTCTACTTTTGTTTCAGCATTCGTATAATTTTCACCACGATGGGCCCCCGAACTAGATCACAGAAAGCCGCCGCTGAGCTGGAGGCAACCGACCCATCGCCGGCCGTTAACGGGACCTTGCAGGAGTCGCCAAAGAACGGTGCAGCAGTCACTGCTGATGGGGATGTGGAGGAAAACGTGTTCCTTTTCGCTCCGAATTTGATCGGTAAGAGCTCAGCGACACTATTGCAGTCTGACAACACCTAACTTGGATGGGACTAGGATATGCGCGTGTTGTGTTGACGATGGCCTCCCTCTACTATATGCCTCTGCACCCGCGGACATGCTCCCTCCTTTACAGCGTGTCGTGCC